AAACACCTTTTCAATTCTATATTAAAAATGTGTTCTAATTGCTYTTACTCCTCCCATCAGTGTCACCAACTCCCTGTAGAAGAAACCCTGTTACAAGAAAATTATTGCTCCKATGTTAATGTTGTGCCAGCAGAGAGCTCTCGGATTTACAAGCCTATTCTTTTCATGACTAATGTGGTAGTTTGCCATTTTGAAGCATCATTTTACTTGCAGCTTTTAGAGGGTTTTAATACTWTTTTTTTCCTCCTGACAGGAAAATTTGGAGAAAAAGGGTTCACGTGTTCTTGATCTTGAGCTGGAGTTTGATGAGCGTGCAGTGCTCATGGAGAACATTGTCTATTTGACAAATTCCCTGGAGGTTGGTACAGACTCGGCACTGCTTGGCATTTATKGGGATAGCTGGAGGGAGCAGCCTTCCCTGAGGCTCTGAGCCTCTTTTACATTAACTTCTGGGTGTTCCTTTCTCAAGCAGCAGTTTTTTATCAACCTTGTTTCCATTTGTCRAATAGATGTGTATAAATCTGTTCARTGCTGGCATGAGATCCAGGGGTRGGTGTGCACTGCACAAACATGGTCCCAGAAAACAGGGCTGGCTTTCACTGCACTRCTGGATGTGTCTGTGGCAGTGAAATCCACTGACAATTTTGAAGGGACATTTTTCTCTGAGCCAGTCTGTATCTTCCATGTTTGCAGCTGAAGAGAAGGAGTTGTTTTCACCTCATGTTGACTGCAGTAGGCTGTCTCCCTCTGGGCAGGGCTTTTCACACTGTGCTGTGTAAAAGGCATCCAGTCTGGTAGCAGCTATGCTGCTCCACATGATGAGCAAAATTTAGTTTAATAGGCAGCTTGAGGTAATGAGGGGACAGCTCAGGCAGGTGGTATTAAAAAAGCTTGAACACCAAAAGTTAAAACCAAAAGCAGTTGTTTCAAGAATTAGAAACTACATTTATTGCAGAGCTGGATGTAACCTGTACAGTATGAAACAAGCRTGACTTTATTGGGCTTGTCCCATGTGAAAGCAAAGTCAAGAGTGAGCAGCAGCTTGTATTTTAAACTATCTGTAAATCTGCAAACCCCACTGATGTGGGGAGGGCAGTGTATCCTCAGAACAGGTTACCCAGAGGGGCTGGGGCTCTCAGGGGGTCCCATCCTCAGAGGCTGAACTGCTGGGGTTTTGTGCACCAGGGAGCAGGTGACCCTCAGAGGTCCTTTCCAAACAAGATCTTGTGGGTTTAGGTGTGTGTGTGTTGCCTTATGTCAGTGCATGTTATCTTCCCCTTTCCCGCATGAGCTGCTGTTTATGGGGCTGCAACTTGTGCTATTCCCTCTGAACTGCTGCTTATTCACTTCTCCCCCATTTTTTCTCTTTTACAGCTAGATCATATTGAAGTGAAATTTGCTTCTGAAGCAGAAGATAAAATCAAAGAAGACTGCTGTCCTGGAAAACCATTTTCTGTATTCAGAAATGAGGTAAAATCAGAAATTAAGATATTGTAAGTCTGAAAACTTAATTGGAAACTTAAAAAAAAAAACCAGACAAAAGTAAATGTGCCATTTAAAAACTTTGGTCAGATATGAATGTTCATCCTATATGAATATTTCTTACTCTTTAAAAAGTACAAATGTCATTGATTTCCCTAAATAGGTCCTAAACCCTACTTATACTGTGGGCTGCATTTTAGAGTTGGGGCAGTGCTGATATCCAGCATGGCCAGGCAGGTTCTGAAGGGATTTTATCCCTCTGGAAAATTCATTTACAGCAGATGTTTCTTTGGTTTAGTTTCATGTTTCCTCTGAGGGAGCACAAGCACAGGTTCTCCTTTAAGGTCTGTGTTGTTTCTCCCAGCCTGGCGTGTCTGTGTTTCTGGTGAACCCTCAGCCCTCCAACGGTCACTTCTCCACAAAAATGGACATCAGGCAAGGGGACAACAGAGAGACTGTGATCAGGCGCCTGATGAAGATGGACAGAGGGATCAAAGGTAACACTGCACACTGTCCCAGCTGCTGAGGAGGTGTCCCCAGAGGCTGTGGGACATGTCCTGTGKGTGCAGTGATGTGTTGTCTGCCAGCTCCTGCTCAGTGCACGTTTGGGAACGGCTGAAGTAAGTGAGATGAAACGAGGATCCCTCCCTGTCCTCCCAGAAGGTGTCAGTGTGCTGCTGGCCACAGGGCTGGSAGGCTGCACTKGCAGGAAGGCTTAGCTGAAGGGTCCCAGGCTTCTTGGTCCCCTTAGCAGTCTTTTATTATTCTACCTTTTGGTGGGCAATTGCATTGAAACCAATTCTCRCATTCCTCTTCCTTCCAATCTCTGCAGTTCATTCCTCAGAAAATGTGTAGTAACTGTTCAGTTACTCAGATGTGGCCTGAGCCAGATAAAGCAAATTCAGTGCTTGGAGTGTGGTGTTGGGAGCTGCWGTTTCTGTGTGGTTCATCACCATTTCTGTTGGTAACTCACGGTGTAACCACTGAAGGACATTTTGTATTGTGTAATCCTCAAGAGGACAGATATTCCCAGACAATGGATTTCCTTGGATGAGTGTGGAAGTCCCAAGGGTTAACCATTGCTGTGTTAACTCTGTTGGTGCTGTGGCCTGASCTGCTGCTCTCTCTCCTCAGATCTCTCTAAAGTGAAGCTGATGAGGTTTGATGATCCAGTGCTGGGGCCCCGCCGTGTTCCAGTCCTTGGCAAAGAGGAAGCAGGGAAAACTCCTATCCTGGAGCAAGCCATCTTCCACATTGACCTGGCCCAGAGGCACGTCCATGTCACTGAGAACGGCCTGACCAGGGACATTGGGGACACAATTGTTTACCTGGTTCATTGAACTGGCAGTGAGAAGGTTCAGAGAGGGACTTTGAAGCATCTGTATTAAACAAAGAGGAGAATTTGTTCTAATAAAAAAAAAAAAAGCCCACCCAAACCAAACTGAGTTTGTATGAGTTTTTTAAACAGGGATTTAATAAAATTATTTTCCTCTGGTKCTTTGGCTTCTCTTGGAAAAAACAGTTACCCTGGAGCCTCTTCCTTTCCAGGTGATGGGCAGGGTCTTCAGGAACAAATTTAAAGGCCACACTTAAGAGTTCCACTCCTTCCTTCAGGGAGCTGTGCTGCTTCTCAGCTGGATTTGGCTCCCTCCTGATTCAGCTGAAGGCTTTAATTGAAGAGCCTGGTGCTGCCCGGGTGGGGAGAGGGGTGGCCCTGGCAGGTGGGAACTGGTGTGACACAGGGCAAGGTGTGGTGATGTCACCTGGCACAGGTGTGACACAGGGCAAGGTGTGGTGATGTCACCTGGCACAGGTGTGACACAGGGCAGGGTGTGGTGATGTCACCTGGCACAGGTGTGACACAGGGCAAGGTGTGGTGATGTCACCTGTGCCAGGCTCAAAGCCATCCGGACACATTGGCTGGGTGAGGTCCCATAATTGTTTATTCTTTCCTGGGTAACAGGATCTTTTCAGGATAGAACTACTTTTGTTCCTGGTCTTGAGTAGGGAGCAGAGTGAGGAGGCTGATTCTTGGCTGACATGTAAATAATCTGATACATTAAAAAGTGGAATGGTCTGGGTGGGACAGGCAGGGTGGGAAGCTGGAAGTTGATTCTCGTGCTGTTTGTGAACTCTCCTCAATGCCCCCAGGGACCCTCGGTGACCCTGGACAAAGCTCCAGGAGCTGGGCACAGCCCCACACTGAGGGTGTCCTGTTAAAACCCACCTGCCATGGGGCCTGAGCCATAACCCATCCTTCTCCTTTCACCACCCAAAACGCCTGGCTTTTAAAAATGAGGTGCAGGAGTATTTTACAGCAGTCTGTCTCTGCTGCAGCCTCTTAGGAAAGTTAAACATGGATACAGCTTCCAGCAGCTCCAGGTGAGTTAAACCTGGGTCCAATGCCCAAATCTCTGCCATGTCACAGCAGCTTCCTGACCCAGCAGTGGCTTTGAGAGTGTGAACCTAAACTGCCACCATCTGCTGGGACTGGGGAGCTGAAAATTTTGTGCAGATTTATTTGCTGTTGTTTGATTGTAGGCTCCTGCTGGGGGCAAAGAGCCTCAAAAATAGCACCAGGAGCTTGAGCTGGAACCTGGCCATGGGCAGGAGAGCAGAGTCCGTGTTCCCAGGCCTGGAATCAGTTAAACCCCTCCCTTCCCAACARGCAAAACCTGAAATAAGAAATTGAAAATAAACATTCTTGGTTTTTTTTCATGCAAAAAGTTTTAATGGTGCCACAGCAGCTCCTGTGGGCTGGTGTCTCACAYGGTGAGGGCCCAAAGCTTTCCCGAGCCCCGTGTTTGCCCCGTGCCCCCCCAGTGCCCCCCTTCCAGTGCATCAGGGRCCCTAATCCATTCAGCCCCAATTAATTTAATTATCTACAGGCTACAGATCTAAACATTAGTGCTACAAACTTAGATGAATAAACTTCTCAAGACTTAAAGTATCTTTAAACCATTGCTTTTTTTTTTACAGAAATACAAAATAAATAGCTTGAGGATTAATACAAAACAGGAAACTAACATCTTCTTGTTTATTGACTTTTCTCCCAAATAGTACCTTAAATTTAAAAAGCCTTTTAAAAAATKAACTTCACTTCATGGAAAAAATATTCTGCATCCCTGAATTTGTACAAGTGTCTCTGAACAATAAGCAGAACATATTTGATTTATCCTCCTACCCATCACCAACTAAGCAAAGGTTATACATCCTAYTATTTCTAAGACAGATATATAAAAATAGTAATTTATGGTTTCTCGCTGATGGTGACCTGACTGTAACATTTCATTGGAGCATTCCCTGGTCTGGGTGCAGAAAGTAGACAACAAAATTTCCTCCTTGGTCATGCAAAGGATCAGGGAACTTCTGTTGACCCCTTCTGCCTTTAAAATCTGGTTTGGCTGTACCTTTGGTGTAAACAGATCCTTTTCCCCCTTCATTGCTGTTCCAGTCCTCCTCAGGCTGACCCTGAGGGTCCYTGGGGTGCTGTTCCCCAGACAATCYSTGMKCCATCMCCACTTCCCACYGGGAATACACACAAAGGGATCAGCGTCTGSAGCTCCCATGGACTTTGCTGCTAAGTGCCCATTGCTTCACAGACAGTTTGGGGTTCCAAACACTGATTTAATGAATATTTGGAAATGTTACTTTTTAAACAGGACAGATACTGAAGCTTATGGCAAAACCCCTAAAAAGTCTGAGCTGTGATTGCACTTCAAACACATTGCACAAATGAACTGCAATGACTGTTGGGCAATGAATAAACCTCCTAAGAATAATAAATGTGTGTGTGGTTTTCCACATTGCCAGGTTCCTCTGTTTTGGAGCCAGTGTTGGCATTCCTATTTCCAGAGGGAGGGAAGGGCCCACCCCACCATGCTGGGCTGGCTGAGGAGCCACGGGGTGCACAGCAAAGCTCATTCCACATCCTCTTTCTCCAGATCATTTCCTGCGTTTTCTAAATTTAGAGGAGAGGCTTGGTATTGTAGCAGCTCTTGTTCTGCTCTGGTGGCTTGTGAAAAAAATTAAATGGATAAAGTTAGAAAATAAAACTCTTGGATGTAAGTGTTCATTGAAACACCTGGGACTGAGGATATGGAGTGGGTGAAAAGTGAGGAGGCACATGGCCTGACAGGGGATTTCTGATGGAAATGGACCTTTACTGAGGGCACAGCACTTCCTATCAAGAGTGAGAGGAGCCAATTCCCGGTGTCCTGCACACTGGGGATGCTCTCTGCTTACCAGGATGGGGATACTCAATTTCTAAAGGTTCTTGGAATGATTTTTTGATGGAGAGCAGGCCCAGCTGTGAGGCAGCACGGCTCTGCTGGCTTTSCCAGGATTCACGGACAGCCTTGGATTGGGGTCAGCAGGAAACAGGAGCTGCTGCTGCCATGGCAGAGGGGCTGGGGCACGGTGAACTCTGCTCTCTGTTACACAGACAATGTTTCATGCATCTGAATGTAGGCTGAAACCCAAGAATCCCACCAAGGTATTTACAACAGCCACGTCTGAGTGGGCAGTGGAGGGAAGGGACCCAAGGAGCTCCGGGCAGGAGGTAGCTGACAGGTGACAGAAGAGAGATTCAGTGCCCCCATTGCAGAGCCTGGGGACAGCAGTGATGGCACCACCCTTCCCATTGGCTCTTTCCCCTCCAAATCACTTTTTAGACTGGGCTAAAACCAATGAGAAAAGCAAGCAAGCAAACATCCAAACAAAAAAAAACTGGAGTGACCCCCTCCCCTCAAAGGCAGCGTGAACCATCAGCCAGGAGCTGACTGATTCTGATTTATGGTTTCTTTATCCTGAGACAGGCAGGTAATGAGCCAGTGTTTGATCACTGTGGGCTTTCCTGCAGCCCTGAGGAGATCAAAGCAAAGGTAACTCTTTGTGATATTTGTAGGCATTCCTCCCCTCCCGCTGCTCCTGTGTGCCCTGCAGGCAGCGACCCTGGGCAGTGTCAGTTGTGTGGGGACAAACAGAGCCTGGGTTCTCGCTGTGCTCCAGGGGGCAGGGGGCTCCCCAGAGATTGCCACAGTTCTCTCAGAGATTGCCACAGTTCTCTCAGGGATTGCCACAGTTCTCTCAGGGATTGCCGCAGTTCTGTCCAGTCCCAGCCCCGCAGTTCTGGGGTGCTGTGCTGTGCTGTGCTGTGCTGTGCTGTGCTGTGCTGTGCTGTGCTGGGGGGACACGGCAGATCCCTGCCCAGGCGGGAGCGGTGCGATGCTGCGGGCTCCGGGCACTCGCCCCGCGCCGAGGGAGAGGAGCAGAGCGGAGGAAGGCAGCTCGGGGTACCCGGTCAGTTTGCAGAGATGCTGCTGTAGCTCTTCTTGATGGGGAAGGTCAGCTGGCCCGAGAGGTCCAGCGACAGCGCCTTGGGGTGCAGCGCCCGGCGCGGGTGCAGCGGGCTGGAGCCCAGGCGGGGCGAGTAGAGCAGCAGCAGCTCGGGRCCCAGGCCGGGCTCGGGCAGGAGCCCCTCGGGCCCGGGCTCCGTCCGGCTGCGGAGCAGTCTCGGCGACGGCTGCARGCTGTGCCGCTTGGGCGGCGGCGGGCTGTGGTTCTGGAACCGCACCGTCTTCACTTGCTGCAGCGACAAGGGCCAGAGTCAGGGGGGAACAGCAGACCCTGCCCGCCCTCCCCTGTG